CCCCAAGGCAACTCATACAACAATCAGAATTTTAATCGGGCCAATGCTCAACAGTTCAATCAGAATAACAGCTCAAATCAGACTCAGGGTCACAAGTTCATCAGAGGAAAAGGAGCTGTGGCAAATGTACATGGAGTTCCAGTTGATTTACTTCATGAGAAGGAAGATGATTCAGTTACACATGATGAGAATCAAAACGTCAACGTAACAAGAGAGCAGTATGGGCAGATAATGAGTCTGTTGCAGCACTTTCAGACATGCAACACAGGACGACCCTCCAGCAATGCCAACATTACTAATGTTGTTGTCAATTTTGCAAGTATTGTAGATTGCACCTCTTCTATTGATTTTGACAAACCATCATGCAAATGCTTTGAATCAAAGTCTGACCTTTGGATCATAGACTCAGGAGCATCTAACCATATAACTTTTAATAAGACAATACTTAGCAATATCACCACTCTACCATATCCTTTATTGATTAGCCTACCAAATGGATATAGGGTGAAAGTACTTGAATTTGGAGATGTAATACTCAATCCTGAAATCATCCTACACAAAGTCCTCTATGTTCCTTCTTTCAAATACAATATAATCTACGTCCACTCTCTTGCAATGCATCTTAAATGTATTGTGCTCTTTATTAATGCACTGTGTCTATTACAGGCCCCTTCAGTGAAGAGGCCTCAGGTGATTGGTAGTAGCAGGGAGGGACTATACTATCTGTGTTCCAGGTGCTTAAAGGGTAAAAGCACTTTCTCAAATTCTGATGTATCAGGTTCTTGTTGCAACTATTTTTCCTCCACTAGTGTAAATAGTGAAGGCTTCAGAAGTCCTAGTCATTCTTATCATCATTCATCAAATGTAAATACATCCACTCAAAATAATAAGAATGAGTCTTCAGTTGAGTTTGATAAGTATGATGTGAATCTCTTGTGGCACAATAGGCTAGGTCATGTTCCCTTTGTCAAAATGAGAGGAATGTCCTCCATACCTGTACTTTTCTCACCCAGACCAGAGTTGTCAAAGGCACGCTTAAAGCGCACTTAAGCCCTGAAGCAAGGCTCAAAACATGTTGAGCGCTTCGCCTCACTTTGTGGGCGCTTTAGTATCACATCAAGGCTCTAAGGCATACTATTCCTTGCCAATGAGTGTAATCATGAAAAGGCGGCATTAAACAATTGATATTTCACTTTATCGTAATCTTTTTCTAATTTCTTTGTCCGTATATTTGTTATTCATGCTTATAATTATTAGTCTTGTACTACATATACATATTTTTATTTTTTCTCCAGTTGCGCCTTTTTTCATTAAAGCTCACACTTTATTTGCGTTTTGCGCTTAAAGTCCCAACGGACCTTAGAGCTTTTTTGCGCTTTTCGCCTTTGATAACACTAACCCAGACAACCATTTATCTGTTCGATTTTCCATATGGCTAGACAAGCCAGACTTCCATTCCCACAAAGAACTAGTACCTCTACCCAAATATTTGAGTTGATACATATTGACATATGGGGTCCCTACCATGTCAATACTCATGACAATTATAAGTATTTCCTCACACTAGTAGATGATTTCAGTAGATCCACTTGGACACATTTATTAAGCTGTAAGAGCAATGCTCTTCAAACCCTCGAGGCCTTTACAACCATGATTGAAAATCAATTTAACACCTCTGTTAAGACCATCAGATCTGATAATGGGCTGGAGTTTACCAGTCATGAAGCTACCGCATTCTACCAATCCAAAGGCATCATTCATCAGAAAACTTGCCCCTACATACTACAACAAAATGGGGTGGTGGAAAGAAAACACAAGTATCTCCTAGAAACTGCTAGGGCACTTATGTTTCAATCCAAATTACCAACTAGATATTGGGGAGAATGCATTTTGACAGCCACCTACCAAATTAAAAGATTGCCTACCACTACCTAAACAACAAATGCCCTTTTGAGCTTTTGTACCATAAGAAACTCAATTATTCTCACTTGAGGAGCTTTGGTTGTCTTTGTTACCCTACTACACCTAAGGTACATAGGGATAAATTTGAGCCCGGAACAGCTCCTCATGTCTTAATAGGATATCCTTTTGGGACAAAAGGTTACAAAGTGCTAAGCCTAGCCACTGGGTAGATACACATCTCTAGAGATGTCATATTTCATGAAAACATTTTTTCTTTTGCTTTGAGTTCCAAGAATGTTTCCCCATACAGTATTTTCAAATCAGTCACATTTCCTGCTTGTATTGAAAGTGAAAATGCACTTCCTGATGTTCAAGGTGTTGTAGATATCACATCTCCAGGTTTGCACCAACACCCTGAATTCTCTCCTGTTAATGACACTTCAACACAATCTAATAACTCATCCTCTTATAGCCCTGTTCCTGCATCTTCTTATGAGGCTGCTGACCTTAGTTCACCCACATCTAATCAATCAGAAATAACTACAATCAGAAAGTCCAACAGAACACACAAAACCCCTAGCCACCTCAAAGACTATATCTACACCCTTCCTAATAGATCCCAACCTACTACTTCTCAATGCTCACCTTCTTTAAATGCACTATTCTCCAATCATAATCACATCAGCACTGATGCTTTATGTTCTAAAAGTCAGCACTTAGTGACAAGCGTTTGCCATGATATTGAGTCATCCACATATGAAGAGGCAGCATTTAATCCTGCATGGCAGGCAGTCATGACACAAGAATTTGAAGCTCTTCATGCCAATCATACTTGGGATTTAGTTCACCTACCTGTTGGAAAGCAGGCAATAGGCTGCAAGTGGGTCTACAAAGTTAAGCATAAGGCAGATGGAAGCATTGAAAGATTTAAGGCTAGACTAGTAGTAAAAGGCTATACTCAACAAGCAGGGATTGATTACAAAGAGACATTTTCTCCTGTTGTCAAGATGACAACAGTTAGAGCCTTGATTACTGTTGCAGTGAAGAAAGGCTGGGACATATTCCAACTTGATGTGAACAATGTGTTCCTTCATGGTGACTTGTATGAGGAAGCATATGTGGAGGTGCCACCAGGTCTTTTGATTGACCAGTCTAGCTCACATAAGATGGTTTGCAAACTAAACAAATCTGTGTATGAACTGAAACAAGCAAGCAGGCAGTGGTACGCTAAGCTAACTGAGGCCTTGTCATCAATGGGGTACAAACACTCTGAGAATCACTATTCATTGTCTTCTAAAAGGACCTCATTCTCCACTGTCTTTGTAGCAGTGTATGTTGATGATGTTATCATCGCTGGTACTGATTCAGTAGAGATAGCCAACTTGAAGGCTTTTCTTAATAGACAATTCAGAATCAAAGACTTAGGGAGACTTCACTACTTCTTAGGCTTAGAAGTTCTTTACAAACCAGATGGAGTTCTCATCTCTCAAAGAAAGATTGCCTTAGACCTGTTAAAGGAATATGACTGCTTTGCATACAGCAGCTTATCTTCTCCCCTTGATCCTACTCTGAAATTAAAGGCCAATAAAGGGACTCTGCTGCCAGATCCCATATATTACAGAAAACTAGTAGGCAAGCTGAACTTCCTGACAAACACCAGACTTGATATAGCATACAACGTGCAGCTCCTCAGTCAATTCATGCAAGTACCTAGAGACACACACTTGACTGCATCTTTCCACCTTCTCAGATATCTCATGAAGGATCCCACACTAGGGATATTTTTCTCCAATAGTGTTGATTGCTCCATATCTGCTTATTGTGATTCTTATTGGGCAGCATGTCCTGATTCCAGAAGATATGTTACTGGCTACATTGTTCTAGTAGGAGATAGTCCTATTAACTGGAAATCCAAGAAACAAGAGACCATTTTCTTGTCATCAGCTGAAGTTGAATACAGGTCTCTTAGAAAAGTTGTTGGAGAACTAGTGTGGCTGAACAAGTTGTTTGAGGAACTTACTATCCCACAGTCCAGTCCTATTGTTGTCTTCTGTGATAGCCAATCTGCCATCCACATTGCTCACAATCCTGTGTTCCATGAGCGGACCAAACATATTGAAGTGGATTGCCATTTTGTCAGGACTAAACTCCAGGAAGGTCTGATTTCTCTCCATCATGTAGCAACTAATGATCAGTTGGCTGATATCCTTACTAAAGCCCTCACAGGAGTTAAACATGTTGTTGTCCTTGGCAAGTTGGCTGTGNCTTTGCAATTAAGCAGAATATCATTTCACATTCTATTCTTTACTCTCTCTCTCTCTCTGCTCTCTTAGAACTCTCGAGAACCTCCATTGGAGGTCTTGCATGAGCTTGATTTTTCCAGTTTCGAGCTAATCTCAATAGTTGTTACAAAAATACTATGCTTTCATAATGACCATCAAGCAAGAAATTACGAGCACCAAAGGGAAAATTCATATTTTGCCCGCTGCAAAATATTGTCTATGACCAATCATCTGGATAAAAATGACGGAAGTTCTGAATTCAGAAAATTTATCGAAGAAGCAAAATAGAAAATAATAACTTGAATTAGAAGTCAATATATAATTATAATATCCAAAAATGAACGATCATCCAAGATACTTAGACCAAAAAAGTCACCTAATCATTGCAAAAAGCCACAGTCGCAGTCAACATTCCCAAAGTCAACATACTATTTGCCATATTTAATGCTTAAACTTTGAAGTTGCTCACTACTTTCATCATTCAGGTAACAAAAATAAAGAAGACTATGGAAACATCTCAAATTTAGTTATGACTCACAGAAAGTTAACAATATGAAATAAAAATTTGAACTAAGTTTCATCCTAACAAAACTTCTAAAGAACACTTCTATAAGAAGATTTATATCAAGCTCAGAATAAAATATTCAGAGAAAAATTGAGTATATAATAATATCCATGTCAATTCATTCTTATTCCTAATTACCTAAGCAAAAATAATTTAGTCCGCACCCTCTAAAAAATGGAATTACATGAACACCAAAATTAGGTAACATGAGACAAAAAGAATAAGTACTAAGTTAGAAGCAAGTTACATACCTCTTCAAGAGCCATGATTTTCAGAGGCACAAAATCGAGTTAGTGAGCACACAATGATACCAGTTGTCCCAGTCTGAATAGCAAGCATAGCTGCTGATCCGAGGTTGAAAAGTTGTTTCACCACTAATACCCGACTATAGGACTGAATAATAAAAGAGAATACCACCCTCAGCCGCAAGTACACCATTCACCAGGATTGGCAACGGAGTGATTGTCTGGAGCTGCTAAATGTCCTGTCAATGTCCAGACAAAAATCCTTGACATATGATAGCTTTCTTGAGATTCGTTGTAAGCACAAAATGCACATACACAGCAGTTTCAATTGATATCACCAAATCCTTTTTGTAATGTTAGATTGAGTCCCAATCCTAATTTCTGTGGACTTTTACTACTGGAAAACAAAGTATACCAAATTTTATAGGTTCTGCATATGTTGGGAAAATTATGTGTATTATAGTTTTTTTGTGCTTCTATAAATTTGAAGTCAATGCTACACATCCCTAGTAAGATTTAGGCACACTCTTAATGGTGATGTAATGGTAATAAAATGATCTTTTATCTATCAAAGCAATCTCAACAATACTCAAAACCTAATCAAACTCCAACTTTCCCCTGTAAAAGTTAGTGGCTAAAAATTTGTTCAGGAAAAAAAATTATTAGCCTTAGCTAGATTATAAGATTTGATATGGGAAAATCTGTCTTAAACTAATTTTAGGAGGGATATTGTAAAGGGATAACAAAATCAGATATCTAAGGACAAGAAACTCTCAAATAATTAACAAATTTGCCTTAATTTATTTAGACAACCCTAAAAGAAAGACATGTCCATCACTAATCTGCTAATATAACAAAAAATATCTTAAACTTTATGAAAGCAATCAAATTAGTATAAAGGAGACAAAAAGCTTAACTTTATTGTAGAAACAAAAAGGATGCGACCAATCCATTTGGAGATGGAGTAGTGAACTTTTTCCCGAGTCAAGGCTTCAGACTCGTAGGAATCACTATTCTTACATAAATGAAAGGAAGGGCTTGCAAGGGTCAAGGGAGAAAAAACTATCAGAAAAACTGATCAGAGTGATCGAGAAAATGAAACTCTGAATAGCTTGTCAAAATGTCCAGGGATTACTTTACACTTCAAGAGTTCTTTGTTCTGATTGTTTGAAAATAAAGTCATTGAGCAATCAAGCTGAAGATCGTCTAACTTTTAAATAGTAGAATCAAAAGCAGATGGTGTAACTTGCGCAAAATTGTATTAACATTAAAAAAATAATTTCAATATGAATAATTTTACACGCAGGATTGTACTAAAGCAGGTAAGAATATTAATAAATATATAAGTACAATCATATGAACGCTAAAGAAAGCAAAAGATTAAACCTTCCTTATAAACAAGCCAAAAAGAAGAATTGCTTCTTGCAATTTAAGCACTTAAGCAGAGATCCTGGTAGCTACTTATACACCAATGAGACATAATAGGTCTTTATTTTACGTAAATTCTTTCCATTCATTACAGCAGTTATCAGGTAAACACAACAATATATCAATTCTGAATAACATCAGTTATGAATTAATTAAAGCGAAAGCTCGGAAGTAAAAGATATTACTTTACATTTACCAATTGGAAGGGGTTCACTATTTTTGGATCGTTCAAGGCTAACAGAACCAGCAATATTGAAATTCTCTTATTGATAGTTCATCTTCATCAACAATTTTCAATTGTAAACCTAGTTACCCGAAAGCACAACATCAACAAATAAATATAATCCATTAACCATTATTATTACTACTATATACTAATGAATGTCGCAAACCGGAAAGAGAAAGAAATACGTCGTGTGTTTTTGCAACTGTAGGACATAAATTTTGGAATACTTATTAATAAGCAATAGTTTTCAATTAACGAATTCACATCATTCATCTGTGTGGGTAGGGAAATGCATCAACTGTCAATTAATTAATTAATCATTATAATATTACATGCATACTAATAAAGAACTAGTAGATCTTAATTTCAAATAGATAGAAAACTGAACATTGTACATGAATCATGAAGAAAGAAGAGAAAGGAAATTACGTTGCAATCAAAGGGACCCGAAATACTGCGACTCCGAACCGTCAAAAAGATGATTCGAAAGGGCGGCAGAGTGGTATAAGAGAGAGCTCAAAATCAAATGGCCTGAAGAAAATTAATGGGTTGGGTCACGGAAATGGGTCCGTCGGATCAATATAGAAAGTATGTAACCAATTAGATTGGGAGAAAGAAGGGAAAGAGACGGTAGATTACTTGCACGAAGGGTGTGACTTTTGGGAAGGGGAGGCGACTTTTGAAGTTCTTTTCTTTTTTTGAATTAATGTTTCTTTTAAATTTTAAATGCCAAAAATTGAGAAATTAGATAAATGGTCAATCTAATCAAAGAGATGTGCAACCACACTGGACTTGGGCCTCTTTTGTATAAACTATTAGTTTTAGACTTTTAGTATACGTATATATCAATTAAAAATATATATATTAACGTTAAAATAAAATAAAATATTTATTTAAATAATAAAAGTAGATATTATCTCAGTGACATAGTAGTTAAATTCAATATCTTCTAAATATACAAAGATGATGAATTTAATTAAATTGGTTGCATATTATTTTGTAATCATATTTACCTTATAATATGAGATACAAATATGTTAAATTGTGTCCCACTTGAAATCTCTTTATTAAATATATTTTGCTTCTACCATTTTATCCTCATTTCTTCAAGTTTGCGTTTTAGCAAATTTAATTCTTAATATTATAATTAATTTAATTTAATTTAGTTTAATTTTTTTTATTTCTTTTATCCTCGATGGTCTTTTTACGAAAAATAATTTATAAAACTTGAAAAATAATTTTACCTATATGATGAACTTGAAAAATAATGAAATTGGATTATTTTGCCAATTAGTTAATTCAAATACGGGAAAAAAGAGTTAATTCAAATAGTTAATTATCTTTTTAAAACATTAAAATAAATAATTTATTATTTGAGGATTCAAATTTTTATATTAGCTCATACCATAATTTAAATATTTAATTACAACTATCTTTTTATCCACAAAAGTTCTATTTTCAAATGATAAAAAGTAAAAAAAAAATTACACTTTATGTTTGTCGATACATTAGTAAATGACTTTTGTCAATCACTTTTCTTTCTCTCTTTCTCTTTGCTATTACTAAACATTTTCATAATTATTTATTCTACTTATTTTGAAATCTATATTAATATTTATATCTAAGCATAATATTTATCAAATAATAAAATTAATAGTCAATGGACCAATTTCACATGGACAACTCATAGCGTGTACATGTTAATTATTGAATTGGGATAACGAACAAAGCAAAATGCTTCATCTTTCTTTAATTTTCTTTTTAAAATTTTGTTTACATCACAATTGTTCACCTAAAATTTAGCACAATTAAAGAATCTCTTTTGAGCTAAAAAAGCGTTCAATTAGAGACAATTCATACCCATAAGATTCGGTATTTACTTAATGATAATTTAATTGTATAATTTATATATGGTAAAGTTTGAATGAATTTAAAGTTTTAAATATAATAGTTTCTTAATTAAATCAAATAAGGTAAGATTTAATAAGTAATAAGCTTAATTTAATTTCAAAGTCCTAAAAATTAGCTAGGAGAATAATCAAATAATTATTTAGTCTAGTGTATACACTATTTCAAGGAGGTAAAAAAGGCAAACGACATTTCACTAAAGGCCTTCGTTCTTTTAATATAGTATAGATATATAGATTTACGATTTTATTAAAAGAAACATATGATTTGGTTCGGTCAATTTAATCGATTTTTAAAGCTATTGACCACCAAATCCCACAAGATTTGGCAGTTTAATTTTAGGATTTTTTAGCTTCCTATAATAAATATGAAACTTTATTACCCTCCCTAATCAAATTTTAACTTAATTACACGAGCATATACAATTTATCAATTATATATAAATAAGTATTAATGAGTATCCATTTATAATATGAATTTAATAGGGAATCAGTTATTTTCCCCTTTCCTGCTCTCTCTCTCTCTCTCTCTCTCTCTCACCGTCTCTCTCTCTCTCCCTCTCTCTCATCCTCTCCTTTGTTCTTTCTCCAATTTTTCTTCCTTCAATTTTCTCTGTTTTCAACCTCTATCTCTTTTCTAGGAAATTTATCAATGGATTTCAATTATTTTAATATAGAGTTTTAACTTAGCAATTTCCTTTCATGTTGCACAATTGGTGTTCGCGTAGAAAGCTTCGAAGTTTTGAATTCGAATTTGGGTTTTCAAAAAATATTATTTATTTGGATTGTGTGTTATTGCAAACAATTGAGAATATTCTTTGAATTTTATATCTCAATTTTGAGGGTGTTTGCCGAAGATTAGAGTTGAGTTTTGCCGGATTTCAGATTGAAACTCGAAAAAGAACTTGAAGAAGAAGAAGAAGAAGTTAGAAATTAGTTGTATATTGTATGAATCGTTGTATGAAATTTGTATTTAAGTTATAAATAATATTTTTTTTATAGATAAGTTGTTGATATGTATCAAAATTATATTAAGAAAGGAGTTTTAATTGGAATTTCAGTGAAGAAGAACACACCGCATATAAAATATATACAAATTATATATAAAATTGAGAATATTCTTTGGAGTTTATATCTCAAATTTGAGGATGTTTGGCGAAGATTAGAGTTGAGTTTTCCTGAATTTCAGGTTGAAATACAAGATTAGTTATATATTGTATAAATCGTTGTATGAAACTTGTATTTAAGTTATAAATAATATTTTTTTACATATAAGTTGTTGATATGTATCAAAATTATATTAAGAGAGGAGAATTTTAGAGAAGAAGAAGAAGAAGAAAAAGAACACACCGCATACAAACCATATACAAAATACGTATAAAAGACATTGTATAAAATTTGTATTAAAATTGTATATAAGTTGTATGATGTTGTAGTTATATCTAATTGGTAAGAATTATGTATGAAAGTTGTAGATAAGTTGTAAATAAGTTATATACTGTATAATTAGTTGCATAAAATTTATTTTTAATCTGTATGTTATTGTAAATTTAGCAAATTTGTAATAAATATATTTTTAATTTGTATATTGTTGTACCATACATTATTGTTTTCTTACTTGATTTATTAAAAAACAGATAACTAATTCCAAATCGACTCATTCTTACTTGATTTATTAAAAAAACAGATAACTAATTCCAAATCGACTCATGTGCACGGAATCATGTTTGTTTGAACTGAAAAATGAATGATTCAATTTTGCAGATTGCTTTGCCGCCCTATAGCAACTTTGGCAATGACTATAAAAGGGTGAAAAGTTAATGAACTCAAAATTTCAACATTTTTACACGCTGATTCTCACTTTAGTACCACTCCTAATAGAAAGTACAAGTACAATTCCATTCGTGGTTCGTAAGAGTTGTGTCAATTTTATAGAGACCATCTCATTGGACGAGCAAATAAGAGAGAGACACTAGTGAGGGCAAAAAGCCAAAAGAAGAAATGGTATTAGTTTCCTCTATTCAACCTCGTTTTTATCTCTACCTTTATTGGAGATTGCCGCTTTATTCAATCTTCACCCTCACTTCATCGAATCTTCCGTTGCAAACCCATGTTCTTTTCTTTGCGTCCCCTTTGCGTGAATCACGCTTTAAAGAAGGAAAACTCAGCTAGAAGGAGACACTTTAAAGGAAGAAATCATGGTTATAGCAGGTAAATTACAAATCACATTTTTGGTAAATAAGTTTGAAATATTGTATATAGAAGGAAAAAAGCCCAATTTTAGATTGCTATAATCACACTTGTTTTCTTTGACCTTTGAAGTTCTTCATGAACCGTGAGAGGAAATGTGACAGAATTGTTTTATCATCACAGTAGCCATTTACGGTACTCTTCAACTTCCAATCATTTGAACTTCCATATTACTTATTTTTCTGGAAATTAAATAAGATAATCGCGATGGAGTGCACACAAGTTAGAAGAAATATAAATTAAGTTTATTGGAAAAAGCTACACAAAAGCCACACAGAAACTAACTGGTCTGTCTTCACTCCTCTTCCTCATCAGTGACAAATTTGCCAGTTCCTGGATTTATGGCAGCAATGAAGAAGAAGACAATGTTAAACAACAAAAGGGGCTCAATCTCATTGATTGGTACACCTGTCTCAAAGTTAAGTTGTGCCAAAGCTCCTTTCCCTGTGATAATTTCTCCTATAATAGAGAAAGCAATTCCCAGTTGTGCCAATCTTCCTACAAACAGCTCATTTGCCTTTGTGAATCCAAATAGAGGACCTGAATTTATACAACGCTTTCGTTAAATCCAACGCCAAACCAACTAAAGATTATTTTATACACCTCTTTCATAATGTACATGTTTATAGTATACTACAAGTTGATTCTTGAAACCAACTCAAACACTATAAAATAGTGTAGATAATTTTACTCCTAAAAAGGAGTATCTTTTGTTTAAATGCAGCTGATACAACTCAATTAATAAAAAGACTAAAATATATATCCCGTACCCGCTACCAGAGGCATATCTAGGATTTTTACGTGACGAGGCATAATATAATGCTCAATCAGTGCACCCAAAAGGATTTTACTGTTCAGGGTGTCAAGGGCCTTAAATTAACTATTTTCAAGATATATACATTTGTATATACAAAATTTCTGCCGAAACTTTACGCGGTCGGTGACCCCTCACTGTAACACATAGGTCCGCCTCTGGCCGCCAGAGGCGGATCCAGGATTTCAAGAGGATGGGTGCACTGTTGTGAAGAGGTAGATTTAGAATTTACACTTGACATGTTTAACTTTAGTCTCTTACCATGAACTCACTACACTATTGAAATTATAGGTTTAAAATTATATTCTTTTTAAAATTTTAGTAAGTTTCACATATATATCTATACTTCGTACCGAAAACGAGACCGTTTGGTGTGGGATTTGAACTGTCAATGTCACTTGTAGAGGTGCACCAAATAATAATTGCATCATAGGAGTCTTTGAGCATCGGTGCACACACATATATTTAAATAATTTTGAAGAAATATGACATTATTATACATGGTTTAGGGAGAAGAGTATGAATTCACGTGAACCCATACCCTTTAACCTAGATACGCCTCTGCTGGCCGCTACCTTTCGGGTGCGCACAGGATAAACTCTACTAATAGCAAACCCCATGCGACGGGCTCGACTGAAGAGACATGCAAATGGTTTCGAACTCTAGACCTCCTATTTGGAAAGTCCCTTGCTCAA